GAAGAGGTCACAGCTGCTGGGAAGCATTCAGAAAGAGAAAGTTCCAGTGGACGTTTATGAAGTTCACTTTAAAGGGATTCTCTGGATTTTGGATTTGGGTATCAGCAGCCAAGCCCTACAACCCTGTACCGAGTGAACTAACTACTGAACCATTATTTAAATGTACAGTCCTTGTTATGTTGGTTCTTTGTAACATAAACTTCTTTGTTGTGATTTAAAGATCAGCCAGACTGACAGATACAACGCACTGCAGGTAAAACTTATCAAGAACGTTTGAAACTGATGTGGACGTCCCAGAAGTCCCGAATGAGCTCAGAACCAGAGGAGTCCACACCTTAATAAAGCAGGGAGGTGACTGGGCCTTGTGGACATGTGTTTATTATGATAAAATCATCTGGAACACATCTGGAACTAATCACATCGTTTGGTGTGACTGATAATTATTTCAAGCTTATTTAAGGATCTCATGTTTATTTTTCAGATCTCCACTAACACTTCTGTCAGGATGTGATGTCGTCTGTGTGTATACAGTAAATGTATCCATCAGAGTATGTTATGTTCAGAAAAAGCTTAAAAAATACCATGAGAAAGGAAAATCTTCTTTTAGACCTTCTCTTGACTTTTTTTTTATGGGTTTCTCTCTAAAGGGAAGGCTTTTTCTTTATCAAAACAAAACAAATTATAAAACAAAAGTTTCTTAAGGTAAAATAATGGTGATGCCAATGCTGTTAGCCCAGTAAAGGGTTTTTCTGTTTTTGTGTCAGCATCAAGCTAACTAACTAAAATGTCCAACCTGGTCTATCGGTGAGAAAAAATGTTTGTCTGATTGGAACAGGACTTGCACCTTGAGACGTTGTAGTGGCATATGGTTTTAAAATTATTGTGCCAGACGGAGGAAGACACCACCTCACGTAAACAATGGAGCCGGCAGTTAAATTTGAAAAACAAACAAACAAACTTTAATAATATAATACTTGCCCTTTTAAGTGTTGGGTGAGGAGATGTCTGGGGAGACGCCATCAACATGAGTAGTGTATTCTTCAGCACGAGCTGGAGGTATGGATCACTGTTGTTCTATGCAGGTGTCAAGCGCACATGTGCGGGTTGCGTCCTGCCGCCGTAACCACTACTGTCTACTGTTATAGTAGTCACACAAGACTTCCTGCCAGACCCTTTCATGACATAATCATCCAGATTTTAAATTCTAAATATCAAACACGTTTGAAATAAATCAGGGCGTCTCTGAACAGATCGAGGAGGCTAAAATTTGATCATTGTACTCCTCACACTACAAGATAATCTGGGAAGATAATCAGTTCCAAGCAGCCTTGAGTCCAAATTGTCAGGAAGGAAGAATGGGACTTCAAATCAGCCTGATTATACTGCAGTGTGAGCCAGGCTTTATAGTCATTGGTCAGTTTTGGAGGGTTAGGGTAAGGGGTTATGTGAGTGCTGTGATATGATGCCTTGTTGAGAACATATAAACAGTCTTCTTATGTTCTACAAATTGCTGATAATAAAGAAAACTAAATGGAAGAATGTTTTCCTCCACACTGATAGAGAAGCAGCGCCATACAAAGTCTTCTTCTTGATGACAGTGATACAAAGCATTGGAAATGTACCCAGCATAATTAAAAGCGTGTTTGCAAGTTTTGTGTTCATACATTTTAAAATGTATGAATGCATCCATTTAAAATCACATTCAAAAACTGCCGGGATGTCATTAACAGGCAGTTTTTGTATCGATCTATCAGAGCATGTTAAGAAAAAGTCCTGCATTAAAATGCATCATCTACTCTAAACAGCTAGCAGCTCCACTTCCTGTAATCTTTGTGTGTTTGTTTGTTTGTGTGTAAGAAGGAAGGGAGATGTGATCATGTGTTTTCCACTCTCTAACCATCTCTATGAGCTTTGCCTTAGCCGTGAAATCAATTCCAATACACACACCCTGACCTCCAAATGAAAATACCCTCCAGCCCACTGCTGCAGACCCCGACTCATTCGAGGGGTTTTATACAGTATCTGTGCCCTCCTGCCTCATACCCCTCCCCATATGAAGATAAACAGAGTGAGGGAAGGGGCGGGGAACTTAGTGAAGGTGGCTACAGGAATCTTTAACAGAACTCTGCGGTCACAAGAGCGTTATGAATCTTTAATGAGAGATGTTAGCGCGCCAAGGAGAGGAAATGTGCTGAAAACATGATTATAGGCTCATGGGGAGGAAACCGTTGGTGGAGAGAGAAAGAGAAAGAGAGATATCAAGCAGGGGAGCAAGGATAAAAGAATTATTTTGAAGGGTAAAAGAGGTTAGGAGATATAACAGTTTTTAACAATTGGACTGCTTAAGGCGAAGCTGGATTTAAATTCTGCACCGAACCAAGTTTTTTCCAGATGTGCTCAGAGCCAAAGAGTATGAGTGAAAATAAATGTGTTGTGTGCTTTCCATCAGCTTACGATCAACTTTATTTAAATTGGCAGCAATACTTAGGAAAATAAATCAACACAGGAGTCTTCGGTCAAGGTTGTCAAGATAGAGTCAAAAGCTTGTTTTGTTAAACATAAGTTTGAGTTAGTGTGATGTTTTAAAGGGCTAAATCAGTCAGGTCCTATATGGACTCTTACAGCTAAATGCAACACTCTCATTAAAGTGAAGAGATTAGATACAGTGGCTTGAAAATTGTTAATTAGATATGAATATATTGTGTAATATAAAATATATTGTAAACTTTTAGTGTATTTTTTAAGAATCGTTTTTGCCTTTGTTGGAGAGGAAGGAAAGTTGATAGAGTCAGAAAGTGGGCAGAGAGAGAGTGCAACACACACAAATATCTGCATTTTTTAAACGCTCCCAGGGTGGTAAAAATGGCAACACTCGCTAGTCCTGCGAGGAGCTCCAGACGTTTCTGACTTCAAATATCAAGAGGCTCTGGAAGCCCAGAAATGTACACTGCAGTGACAAAAGTTGCACACTTATGATAATTGTCATGAAAAGAGATGTTCCGATGTTTAGTTAAATGTACAGTTCAAATAATTCTTCAGTTGTTATGTTGACTGAAACAAATGAACACCATGATGATTACTTTTTGTGTCGAGCCTCCCCCATCCCCCCCAAAGAAGCTGTAAACCTAGGGGGAACACATATCAGAGTGATTATATTAATTGTATTGAATATAAAGCAGTTTACATCTGATAGACTCTGAAAAACATGGACAAAGTCTCAGTGACATCACCCATTGGTTTCTGAAGCAGAGTTTTGAAGTCCAAAAAATGTCGGTGGCCATATAGGGCACCAAAGGAATAGGTCCTAAAACCCGGAAGTGAGTTAGCATTTTAGCACTATGGGGTCTATCCTCTAAAAGTCAATGGGAATTATGAATGAGTTTGTGGTTAGACACCTGAAATAAGGTCTGTGGTTAACACAAGCTTAAGCCGACCGTGGTGTAGTTCGCTTGTAGCATAACGTAAGCTTTTTACTTCTGTTGGCTGCATTAATTCTTCAAACATCATAAAAATGGTGTTCATCTGTGAAGATTATCCTGCTGAACGAAACGCCTACGCATCAGAAACATGTGTTTGCCACAGAGCTTATTTTCTGCAATGAACCAAAATCCAGTGCAAAAATCCCATAGGCAAATTCTCAGAAGACCCCATGGCCGTGCTAGTTCCGGGTTGGCCTACAAAAATACGTCATTTAGATTGTTCCCTATTGGAAATGCTGTCTCAAACTAAATTTTAGTCAACAACACGCAAAGAGGTAGAGTTAAGGTGGGTCTTTAGCCTCCTGGAAAACAGCTACAATATGCCTGGCTTTCAGTCAAATCAGCCAAGCCTCTAATTATGGATAACCCTTAGCCTTTATATAACTAAAACAGATGAATCATACCCCTTTACAGTGTGTATAAAAAGAAAAACACTTTTTTATACCAGGCTGTGGACACTCGAGGAACTGCAGTTGTTTGTACTTCAGCATCAGCTTCACTTTTCAACACAGGAGGTTGCCGCTTTGTAATAACATGGAACATGGAACAGGTTATCTTCCACGATGATCAATGAGAGAAATTACCCACGGTCAATAAGTCAGCAGCAGTGCAGACTTATTGGAGGGATTGACAACCCACTCCATATCCAGAAATTTTGGACAGCACTCTAAGAAGACCCTCCACTTAGAGTGCAAGCATGATGTGGAGAGGGTGTAGGGGGTGGTTTGAAGAAAGGCTCATTACAACTTATTGTAACTATAAATGACTTTATTCATAGTCTTACTAGAGATTAACAAAATCTAAATTGTATTCAGGCAGTAGCTAATTGGTCAATGTGTTCTGACCCTGTAGCTCTTTGTCGCAATGGTTTTTCTGGATGTTACCAAAATCTTTAGGTTTGCACACGATGAGGTGCTGGTATCATAGTGGTTAGTTCGGGCACCCCATTTGCGGAGGCTGTGGTCCTCCGAGTGAGTGGCCTGGGTTTGAGTCTTACCTGTGGGTTTTTCCTGCATTTCATTCCCCTCTCTCTCTCCCCCTGATTTCTGACTCCATCCACTATCCTAGCAAAAAAAAAGCCCCAAAATGCCTCTTAAAAAAAGGTTTGCACATGTTCACGTACACTATGATTCATATTAAGCCACACAGTGAAGGTGTGTCTCTCTGCTTGGTGTCACTTGCACCACTGCAGCAGAAATTGAAACAGATGAGAGGGGATTGTGGAAATGTTATAAATGCTGCTCTACACAACCCATTATAAAGTGTGGGCCTTACAGTACGACTTACAGTAACAGCAAAGCTTCTAATCAGGATCGTTTCTTCTGTCACATAATGCTCTGAAAGCAGAGGTTTTTTGTAAGATATGGAAAAGTAAAATGAGCATGACTATGTTTTTAAGCGTAATTTTCCCTTGTTTTGACTTTCTAAACAAACAGACATCAACTTTAAATCATTGGGTGCTTCCCCCCTTTCAAAACACATTTAAAGTCATCTCTCCCTCTGTTTCTTTTTTTGTCACAGCTTTGATATCAGCCGGCTGCTGCACCAACAACTGTAGAAATGTCAAGCTATGGGACAGGTAAGAAGCCTAGTCTGCCTTGTTTCTTCTTCATGTACCATCTTTGTGGTAATTAGAATCTTTGGAAGAAGAAAAGCCAATGAAGGTCACTTTGTCTTCTTTCCACAAGGGCCCATAATCCTGTAATTAGCTCCCATCATTCTATTTCACCTTACAGTGGAGCCGTTTAGCTGAGCTTAGAAATGCATTTATTAGATTTTACAATTCGATTTGAGGGTAGTTGTCAAATGATACACTCATGATAATATGAAAATATTTGTCATTTTGGTTTCTTTTATAATTATAAGGTGGTCAGCACACTATATCTGACTTATATTCTGTTATGATCCTGTATCGTTGCAGGGTCAGTGCTTGTATTAGTCCAGTGTACCTGCTCCAGATGAGTAATGTGTTTGCATGCTTGGTCTGGCCCAGGTGTAATCACAATGGGTTTACCGTGGGACTACAAAGTTAGAGGTTACTCTATTCTTATATCTTGTCCCTTTGTGTATCCCATGTCTTCAATCATACCCAGTGGGAGGTCAAGATGGCTCTGTTAATATTTGATGACGGCATGACATACCTGCCCCTAAGGGATAGACACGCCCCCCTGGCCACTCCTGTCACAGAAACAAGCACACACGCACAGTCACACATGTTTTTGGCAGTTATTCTCAAACACTCTTTTGATTGTACTCCCATACGTTCTGACTTAAATTACCTGCGGTGTCTTCCTCCTTTATATTTCACAAGTCTTTTCACCTTATCATTCCTATGCTTACAGTCCCTTTCTCAGCCCACTCCCACTTACCCCATACATAAATATCAATGACTAAGCTAAGGTGAGGCAAAGAAGGAAGCGTACTTTATGTCAGTAGAAGATTTAAAAGCAAGACACAAGTATAATGCTCACATTGCAGTCTGAAGTCGGGTCCCCTGACTCTCTGCTGTGGTGCATACAGCACAGATCAGAACAGAAGGAGCTGTCACTGATAAGCAACACACAGGCTTATCTATCTATCTATCTGTCATCTATATTTATTCATCCATCCATCCATGCATGCATCCATTCATCTATTTATGTATATTTTCATTCATTGATCTTTCATCCATCCATCCACATGTATATTAATCCATCCATCCATCTATTTAATCCTTCATCAATCCATTAATGTAAATGTGAATTCAACCATCCATCCATCCATTCATCCATTTCTCTTTTCATCCTTCCATCCATCCATCCAATTCAATTTGGGATAATTGACGTTATTTCTGAATATGGGATTATTACTTTTTTTTAGAAGTTTTTCAATGTATTAATGTTGTAAATGTTTTAGGTACATTTATAATATTTGAATCTTTGGCCTTGTTACTACCTAATAAGAATACGTTTATTTTGCTTACTCAGAAAGTGGTCTCCAATGTTTCTACATACAACAAGAGTTTTAGCCTGGTTTATCTAATCCTTCTCATAACTGTTGTAGTACTTTCTTAAAGTTTATAAAAAGTGTTTTACGTTTTATATACTGTATGTATTTATAGTGATAACCTTTCCTAGTGCTGAAAATGTAACATTAGGGTTATTTTCAGGTTCAGTCACTAGTTTTTTGTTTGTTTACCAAAACAGTCTAAAACTGAATCCTCACAAAAGTTCAACTGTATCAATAACATCTCTTTTTCTTGTTTTATTCCTGTGCAGCTTTGATGCCTCATCTTGACCACAACTTGAGAAGCTAATCTCCTCAAACGGAGGGGGTGTCGCAGTGGTACAGCCACGCTGCATCTCTGGCCTTGAGCATCACGAGGGTCCCTGGACTCCACCCTCCATGGCTCCAGATTAGGCCGTCGCTGCGGGATCATCTGTGTCCAAAGCCCTGAAACAGCCTGCCTCCATGTTTTTATTTCTACATATCGGGACCTCAAGAGAAGGGGGGGTTTGGAACATGGTATTCCTTAAGTACCATTAGTAACCTTGTGCAGACTGCTGCAGCTAAAAGGACCGGAGTGGATATCTCTTCCTGCCAAATATGACATGGCTACCTACCGGCAAGCACCCAGAGACAGGAAGGTACGCTTTGAGAAGATGATGAGAGAGGACTCTGCACTGTCTCTGCTGCCGCCCTCTGTTTACAAATGTAGATCATTGGTGGAGAAGCACATAAGTTGAACTTAATACACTGTGCTGTTTGAAACCTCATTTTCCCACTCTCCTTCCTCCTTTCTCCTCTTTCCTTCCCTGGTTTTCCACTTCTCTCCTCTCATTCAAGTAGAGATAACAATCATCTTCCAAGTGTGTAATGAGACTGGTGTAATGTCATGTTCTGTCTCGCAAACTCCAAATCCAGCTGATCACATTACCATCATCTTCAACTTTTTTCAGCAATTTCAAGGGAACAAAACAAAAACCATATTTGTCAAAAATGTTCTAGCAAAGAAAAAAAAAACTCTTCCTGTGTCTTAAACCGAGATGGTCGACTATAGCTGCTGACAGATGTTCTAGTTCTATAAGATGCAATGTTCAGGTGTACTTTTTCTGTTTGGTTTGATCTTCTTTGCTCCCTTAAAGCGCCTATACTGAAGCCGGGGAAAAGATGATGACGTTTCTCCATGTTCTTTTTTACAGTCCAAGTAAAGAGGTAGATTATTTGATTAGTTTTCTATATATCTCTATATCTATAAATATAATATGATTATTATTTTTGACTTACTGGTATTAGAACTATTATATGAAGATGCATATGATATATATCAAATAATAAACAGACCTCTTTATGTAAAAGTGCTTCACTTGTACAGCTTTTTTTTTTCCGGTGTGCTGAAATGACTCGAGTTGAGTGAGTGCTGACCTTTGACCTGGCAGTCAGAGGTGACGTTGGAAATGTAGTCAAGCTAATTGGAGACACAATAACAATACTGTGTAGAGGGTGCCTCAAACATAGACTTTTTGGAAGGTTTTACATATCATGTGTTTTCAAGATAAATACAATAGTGTAAAATTGTCGCACACTAGCAAAAAAACAAAAAAAAAAAACATCTTGAACTTAAACGCACAGCATTTGAATTCCATGCCAGGGGGCTCTCAATCAAAAGAATAACAAAAGATGACTGAGGCTGGCAGGGGAATCATGGGATTGATTCCTGCTACTCCACCTTCCACCCCCGGTGAAAATTAACTCTGAGTTGACCATAGTCAAGACGTACAACGGACGAAACCACCCTGAGTAAGAGAATATGTTTACCGACGATCTCAATCAAAACAATAACAAAAGATGATAGTCTACGGTTGAGACTGTTGGGGAATCATAGGAGCGATTCCTGCTACTCCACCCCCCTTTACACCCCGATGAAAACAAACTCATGTTTACCTTAGTCAAGACAAATGGGCGCAAACAGAACTGAGGAATAGACTCACGCTTCCTTTTGAATATATCTTTGACGTAACGTCTGGTGTTTCCTTGGCAACAATAAACATGTTGTGTCTGTCGTGGCAGCTGCCACGACAAGCCACAGACCCTTAACACTATAAATCTATGGATTTCTTTGGCTTTGATAAGTGTTGAAAATATTTGAGCTAAAGTAAGTACTCAGCAAAAAAAATATATAACATAGGTTTAGTCAATTTCTTATTAATTTAGATATTTTGGTGTAAAAATCCTACACGCTTAAAGGAAGAATGTGCAACTTTTTCATCCAGTAGATGTCGACCTTGAGCACCAGCATTAAACCAAAACAAACTGCTGTTTGGCGTCACCTTGCCATACTGAAGCCTACTTATTTATATTTATGTGTAAATGACGCACATTCCTTTAAAATAAGTGTCTACAGATGATCATGAATTAATGTTTTCATGATGAAATATCAGTAATATCAGTAATTTCTTCATACATTAGTTGGTATATTAACTAAGTTTCTTTGTCATTCTGAGTTACGAGTTATTTAGGGATGTTTATGAAGCTCATGATTTCTCCACAGGCAAGTCTTCAGTTTAAGAGACAAGAAAAAAACCTACTGAATTCTAATTGTAGGAGCGATGATTACTTTAGCATTACTTCTTCAGCATCATGAACATCCCTTAATAACTCATGACTCATGATGTATGAATCACCTTAGTTAATGCATTCATTAATGTATGAAGAAACTGTTAATACATGTGCATTACTGATGTTTCATCATGAATACATGCATTCATTCATGATTAATTCAGGCTTCATTCATGCATGAAATTCATGATAACTCATGTATAACTCCGCATAACTACACTATTTGATGCTTTGTCCTCTCAGATGGTAGACAATGGGATCAAAGTCAAAGGAATACCCTGTTGAGTCACTGAAACTTTGAAGTCAGTTTTCCTTCCTCTGCAGTCACATTAGTGTCTCCCTTCCTGACCAACAGGCCAGTCCAGTTATGCTTTAATATCTGCTAACCTACTGAGCATATCAGTGCAATGTGTGCGCTTTTGTTTATGTTAAAGGATAGAGCTGACCATGTTTTATATGTTTGTCAAGAAATCCCATTTAAAGACTAAACAAACAATGCCTTATACTGTTTTCCTCCAATACATCGCCCTGTCGGTGACCTAAATATCTCTCCATTCCCGGCTGAATATGTAGATGTTTAAAAAACAGCTTATTTTTTTATAAACATTGCCAAAATACTTTCCTGAAACAGCTAAGCACTATTGTTTTTAGTAAGGGTGTTGTTTATAGCATTGATAGTGAATTAAATAAAATGTTACCTTTAGCTTAGTCAAGATTTACATTTTTTTAAAAGGTTATCCATAGCCTTGTAATCAAGGTTACACTAACTGAGACCAGAGTGCTCGGGACCGAGACAAGACCAAGACACTGACAGATTGTGACAGAGTCAGGACCTAGACCAAGGCAGGGCGAGACTGAGACAAGACCAAGAATATTACTATCACTAAAAAATCATAAACTTTTGTGCAGCGGGCGTGTCACACACCGGGAAGGTTACGGCCGTAATCGGGGGATAAAAATTGAACTATGTTTTTTGTTCTTTAAGAAAGGGACATTTTTCTTCTGATCAAAGTAATGACTTGGAAAAACAACCAATCAGTGGTGGTCTTGATTTCATATCTGGAGTCTGTCAAGTGTTAGACTGAGACAAGACCGATTAAAAAAGCTTAGGATTCCAAGAGGAGACCGGGACCTTCAAAAAGTGGTCTGGAGACCAACCTTGAGACCACCTTTGTTTTGACCTTCATGTTGGAATTATTGACAACATAAAAACAGCCTTGTGATTTAAAATTAGTATTTATGTGAGGAATAGTTTCATATGGTGAAGGCGAGGATTGGATACGCCCCCAGGAAATAAACAAGAGTCAGTTCAAGGTCATCACAAATACCACTGTGTGTTAGAGCTTCTATTTGGGTTGTTTGTATTATAGCACTACACTCATATTAAAAACATGGAAGAAAAGTGAGCCTCATCTGGTTTCATCTGATTGCTCAGAGTGATTAGGGTTTACTCATTTGCCTCAAAAAAATCTCCTTAATGAGGCTCTTTGCTGTGCTGGTCTTTAAATCTGAAGACTTGGCACTGCTCCCACATATCGTCTCTTACGGGACGCCCTGCTGGGCCGTCGGGGGGATCGAGTGGCTGATTGAATGAGTGATTGCCTTATCTGTAAGGCTGTTTAGTAACTGCTGTTGCAGTGTTAAAAAAAGGACAAAAAAACATTCAGTACGTTTACAGGCAAAGTTGAGTAGAGCTAAAGTTATAGCTTGATTGTGCCGTTCAATTGGACTACTATCCTTTTCCCGTATACAATAGTATGCAATTGGTGTGGAGCAGCCCGTACACATGAGAAAATGTGTCTGACTACACAAGGTGGCAATATGCTGCCTTTCAGCTTGTTACTATTCGCCCATCTTCTGTTTGACCTCAAGTCCTATTTAGTTAGCGAGAGGAAAACTGGTTGTAAGTGGAACAGTGAAAACATGGATAACTTTACTGCTCTGTATATTTAGTACACTTTACTTCTGGTACCAATGCGGTGTACGCGGTGATATCTGAAAGGCCGACAAAATTGCCACTCCTGCTATGCAGCTCATTTGTGCAGTGGGACTTCCGGGTCAATGCCTGATACAGGAACTTGGAGCACGCATGTAACGCCTCGTAGATGTAAGAGTAAATCAATCTCAAACATCTTTATATAAATGTGTGTGACTTCAAGAATTTCACCTATAATGATTTCAGTTGGACTAACATGTTTACATGCATTAAAGGTCCAGTTTTAGTCAGTCGCAATATTAAACGTTTTCAAACTGCATGTAGTTCCCCTGTTTGATGACTCTATTTCTAGATGTGTTTGTTTCTTTCCCTGGATGCAGAGAAAAAGAGATGTTGTTCTTTCTTGTGATTAATATACATTATACACAGCAATGCAGAGAAACTGAGCATTACTTCACGTTTGTATTGTGTTATGTGTAAATGTAGTGTAATTAATTTACTGTTAGTGTGGGTATATGATTCATTGTCAGGATTTGATTACCTGTTAGATTGATGGTTCATAGATTTTTCATGTACTTACATGTTACTTCCTCCTCCATGTGCGTGCAGATGTCCTCCTTCTGAGGAGAATTTCTGCAAGGGTTGTGGAAGTTAATGTGCGTGAGCATGAGCATGTACGTGTTTACGTGCTGTTCAATATGCAGAGTCATGTGGGTGGTGTGTGAGGCCAGCCAGCCAGCCAGCAGGTTGATTAAGACACACCCTCGCCTGCTTATACAAGGAGACAAAGAGAGAGAGAGAGAGTGTGTGTGTGTTTATATTGATTTATAGACATCTGTGCACGTTTCACAGTTTCTTTTTTTAAAGTCAGTATGTTTGTGTGTGTGGAAAATGTGTTGGTGAGCTGCAGTTTATGTGTGTGTGTGTGTATGTGTGTGTGTGTGTGTGTGTGTGTGTGTGTGTGTGTGTGTGGGTGTGTGTGAGAGCATGCAGAGCCTCTGATCTGCTCTGCTGCATTGCAGCATGTCCTGCCCATCCCGAGGTCGCCGTCGTCCTCCGCCTTCCAAGGTCACAGCAGGTCAATCCTGCCCATCTGCATACCCAACCCATACATGGATGAATCTATAAACACCACACCAGATCTGTCGTCTGTTAGAGCAATGAGACACAAGTGCAACGGCAGATAACCGTACTCAGTCTGCGGGTCACAATTATCTATCAACACAGAGATCAGACATGTAATCTACCCAGATGACCGGTCGATCAAATGGGGAAAAGGTATCAACACAGGATGAACTACTGCAGTGCACATATTCTACATGTAAATGCATGCAGCTGAAGTCAGATATGGTGACACTTTGGCTAGGGCGCTGTTAGTCTGCTGGAATTTACTGTCAATCTGTGGATGATGAGGACTTTTACGAGAGCCATCAACAAGCATGTGCAGCCAAGGATTTATGACCAAAAATGTCCTGTTCTGAATTAATCAGGAAACAAGGTTATTATGGTCTCATATGTTACTGGCTGAAATAACATGCACACAAACGTAATAAAAAACAGAGTGCAGTAAACACAGAACACTCATTTTGATCTGATTGTTGTGCTGTACAGGACAAATAAGTTCAAGGGCAGAATCAAAGAAAAAATAAAATACTGCCCTCCACTTCCATGGATTGAATTAGTGGTACAGTCTTAACACAGAGGCCGATAGAGAGACAAAAAATACAATTTTCTT